CTCTCCAGTAGCTCCTCATCTCTCTTGAACTGGGGAGCCCAGCACTGGACACAGCACTGCAGATGGGGAATTTTAAGGGACTGGAGCATCTATTATGCAGGGGAACTGAGAGAGCTGGGATTGCTTAGGCTGGAGAAGACAAGGCCCTGGGGAATCTTATCAACATGTATAAGCACCTGATGGGAGTTTGTAGAGAAAACCACGCCTCTGCAGTGTGGTATCCATCAAAAGGACACGAGGCAACAGGCGCAAGTTGACTGTGGTGGTTAGCTTTTTTTTTTAAATTATTATTATTATTCTGACAGTGGTCAAACACTGGTAGAGGTTGCCTACGGCAGTGGCAGAGTCTCCACCCGTGGACTGGACAACGTCCCAGGAACCCTGCTTTATAGTGGGTGGACTAGACAGTCTCCAGCAGTCCATTTCAACCTCAATTACTGGGTGATTCTACGGCATAGACCTTCCTCGTGATCAAAAGAAGACGATTTAGTCAATGAAGGCCTGAGGTTAAGCATCACCACGTACTATGATGTTCCTCATGCTTTCTAGCCGAGCAGGTTAAATCCACAGAAGGCATTTCCCAAGCCGAGCTGCGAACCGCTTCCCACAGGCTTTGGCAAGTGCTACACAACGCACGGCAAAGCACGGCCAGCTCCAGAACATGGAAGACGAGGTGAACCCCTTCGGTTTAGGAACTTCACTCAAAGACAGCTGGAGAATATTTTGAGTGAAAAAAACCCAACCCAAACCAAGAACCACTCCACACTTGCCTTTTTTTTTTTTTTAAAGAACTTTCCTTAGCCATCTGTTACTGTCTACTGCCCAGACACTCTTGCGATAGATTTGACCAGGCAATGTAGACATTCCTCATAGGACAGAAACAGAATTTAACCAGCCACACAGCACGAAGGGATCTCGGACTTTCACTTAAGATAACCGAAAACATCGGGAGGTGGGAGAAGAATCACAGAATCACAGAATCACAGAATCACAGAATAGTAGGGGTTGGAAGGGACCTCTGTGGGTCATCTAGTCCAACCCCCTGCCGAAGCAGGGTCACCTACAGCAGGCTGCACAGGACCTTGTCCAGGCGGGGCTTGAATATCTTCACAGAAGGAGGCTCCACAACCTCCCTGGGCAGCCTGGGCCAGGGCTCCGTCACCCTCAGAGGGAAGAAGTTCTTCCTCGGGTTCAGCTGGAGCTTCCTGTGCCTCAGTTTGTGCCCGTTGCCCCTTGTCCTGTCACTGGGCACCACTGAAAAGAGCTTGGCCCCATCCTCCTGACACCCACCCTTCAGAAGGATGCAAACGCGTGCCAAGGGAGGGGAAAAAAAAAAAATGCAAAAAGCTTAGTATTCACATGCTGCCTTCACCTCAGAATGTTGTAAAAACTAACATGAAGTTGTAAGTCTAATAGAAAATAAAGCAAGTTATGGTGAGGAAGAAAAGTACAAGTTCTACGGGTTTTAGTCTGAACGGTTACCTGTAACTTCAACACGTAAAGCACAACCGCAGCAAAGGCTCCGCAGGCTCCCTGCTCCCATCCCCTGAAACGGGCACCGAAAACCCTTTCATCATCTGCAAGTTCAAGACTAGATCTAAGGAGGGAAAATCAAATACCGCGCTGTTGCAAAAGCACGAAGAGGAACAGGTCACTGTCTGATGGCTTCTGGGTCACTGAAAACATTTTATCCCGTGAACACTAAGCAGTTGGGTATGGTTTAAACAGAACAAAACCACCAGCAGGGTCCAAGACTTGGGAAACACACCCGATGCTTAGACTCGGTCTAGACAGGCTCATCTGGAAAAACAACTTTTCTGGCTGAGCAGCCGTGGCTTCTCCTAACAGCAGAAAGCTCGAAGGAGAATCAAGAGACTTGTTTGGGGTGGCCTGATGTATCTCCTGTGCAACCCCAGACCAGCCCTCAGGACACACCAGCAACAAAGAGGTTGGACAACCCACCGAGGAAGCGGTTGGGGGACTTGGAGTCACCGGTGCCACCGTCTCCAGGGGCACGGAGAGCCCCATCCAATAACTCCAAGCAGCACACCAAGCTCTGCGAGCACCCCGACCAGGGGCAACGAGCACGTAAATCCACGCGAGCCACCCCACAGCAGGGCTGCTCTGCACGCCGGGACACGACCGGCACGCTCTCGTCCATGGGTGCCTTCGAGGAGGCGGCGCAGAGGCCACGCCAGCCCGGTGGCACGAACCCAGGCGTTGCTCCATGGCTGTTGGGGCTCACTGTGGTTCTGCTCACTCGAGCTAACCCTGCTCTGCAGGACCAAAGTCTCTCGTGCTGGGTACCCACCACCACAGGTGAAACCCATCAACGGACTAGCTTTGGGTACATGGGACCAAGATGAATTTGCACTTTCCTGGTGCCAGCTGTCACCTCCTGCTCCTTAAGGAACTTGGTGAATACTAACTCTCAGCCTACTTAGATAAGCAGAGCAGTTCACACCTTCAGATGCGGTAATAACTCCAGGCTGCTGTACAAGCTGATCCAGAAGAACCAGGTTCACGGAGATTAAAGAGACTCAAAAAAAACCAGATGCACCTTAGTTAGCTTCCCCTCTCTCTTCTGCCCCCATAATTCCCTGTCAGATCTTTCACTTGAGTCTTTTTTTAGTTACTGTGTGTAAATAAATAAAGCAAACTACGACTACTATCTGCCACAGAACTGAATTCGCGAGGCACTGTAAAATTCAGAGTCAGGATTTATAAGCTACCTTGGTGCTACGCTCAGCATAAGCCAAGCTGAACCCAAAGAACAAAGCAGCAAGTGTCCGTCTGAACCCGAGGAAGAACTTCTTCCCTCTGAGGGTGCCGGAGCCCTGGCCCAGGCTGCCCAGGGAGGCTGTGGAGTCTCCTTCTCTGGAGATATTCCAGCCCCGCCTGGACAAGGTCCTGTGCAGCCTGCTCTGGGTGACCCTGCTTGGGCAGGGGGTTGGGCTGGGTGACCCCCAGAGGTCCCTGCCAACCCCGAACGTTCTGTGATTCTGTGAAGTGCCAACACTGAGTGCTGAGAAAAGCCTCCCTATTTGAGCTCAGTTATTAACACCGAAAAGCCTCAGCGTCCAATACAGGTGAAGGCGCGTACGTGAGATGGTGTCGCTGATGCTCAAATTACGCCGCCTTAGGTGTTGAAATATTCTACTTGGCTCACTGTTAACAAAAACCACTAACAGAGTTATCTATTTTATAGTACACGTTGCTTTGTGCCCTGAAGCTGTCCTGGTTCCTGCGAAGGTTTCCAAGAACACACGGTCATCAGAAGAGAAAGCGATTTCCCAATTTCATATCTTGGAAGTGAGGCAGTCTTCTTACACTCAGAGTATTTATGATGTGAGAAAATTTATTCATGCCACCAGCAACTAAACGTGGAGCACTACATCCCAGCAGCAAGGCAGGCAGCTACACCGAGTGGAGCCAGCAAAGCGAGAGCCCCCCACCAGCACCAGCCCCCCGCACCGGCACAGAGCCTGCCGCAG